TATCTATGTTGGACTGTATAAAGTTAACTATTGCATAGTGCAACACTATACTGTACTACTGCAATTACTGTAATTTTACTATTTGTGCCTGACTAAAATCTTGAGTGTGAGTGGAGGCGTGTGAACTTGTTTATTGTCTAATTTCTCAGTGTACGTTTGTTTGAAGAGGATGAAAAATAGCATTTTTTTTTCACTGTTTGCTGATTTGGATTGTAGATTATTTTTTGAAGATAACTCTAATGTGTCTCCATGTTTCGATTTGTGCGTTTCAGTTGGAGATTTTATGTTTATGATACTGTATAATGTTATGAGCTAAAAAGAGTTTTAATTAGGCTAAGGCACAGTGGATGTCAGAGGGTGGTGTGGAATGGCATGGTGATATATTTGACTCTTCTAATCAAGCAGCAAGAAAATTTATTTTAGCTGGTTATACAGGGATGCTGTAGTTGCTAGCATAGGTGTATAGGTTTTGGAAAGGAAAGAGTTTCAGCTTGTTCTTGAAAGGTGGCAGGGGAGAAGGGAGAAAAATCAGTTGCTTTATTAGAGCAGTCTGATACTTAGCTAACTCAGAATTTCAACTTTTCTTAATTTCACAGAGCTGAAGTGGTGTTAATGGAGACATTAATTAAATGTGATAATTACTAGAGAAAATTGACTATGTTGCAAAATGGAATATTCTTATTTCACCCTGTGTTATGTCTGTTTTCCAAGTCCAGTGTAGTATTGAAGCCTTGTTGCAGTTCAAACTGTCTGGGATTCAGCAGTTTGGATCTGGAAACTACTTACAAAAATGTTATTAAAGTGAGTCTTGGCGTGGCAGAATCTCAAATCTGTAGTAGGCATTAAGTCACAGCCTGGTTTTTGAATTGGTTCCCAGAACATGCTTTTTGTGCTTTCTGCTGATTTTCATGCATTAGTGAGGAAGATGTAATTTTCTTTTGAAAGACTTGAAGACAGTTATGATAATTTAACCTTAACCCTGACCTGTCCTATGACCTGTTCATCACTAGAGATAGTGTTAGTGAAGGCTTGCTCACATGGTTGCACCAGTACAGTTTTGTATAGATGTAGTGCTGATGCCCTTCTTGGCCATCTTCCAGTTAGGAATAGCTCTTTCCAGAATTAACTGCTTCCAAAATAATGATTAAGCTGAGGAAAGTCACAGTGATGGTACAAGTAAACATTTCCATCGCGAGTTCTGTAACTGAATTGGAGGATTTATAACACAATATGAATTTCCCTGTGGTGCATCAGAGATGTATATTTGCAATTGCTAAATCTTAAGGTATGCTAATAAGCATATTAAAAACATGTCTTTTTATGCCTCTTTCTTGAAGAAAGTGGGACTAGTAAGGAAGGTCTAACTGCAAGAGGAAAGGGTGAGAAGTGCTATAAGAGAACGTCTCGGGGCACAGTAGCATGCTGTCTATCTTATCAGGCCTGTTTCTGGCATATGGACTGATCTTAGAGACCCTGTTTTCATGATCTGCTTTGCCAGGCATGCAGCTGGGAGACACAGAGCTGATTGCAAGTCACAGCCACCTTAAAATGGCTCGGGGTTAGGCTTTGCTAATGGTGAAAGCCAATATACAAGTAAGGGGAACGCCCCTTCTTTTTAGAGGTAGACCTCCACTTGCGGATTGCTCTCTGCATACCATTTTAACTCGGTGGCCTTTTAAAGATCTTGAGCAACTTTCCCTGGCAACTTGAGCTGGCAATGCTTGCTTGGCTGGGTTGTCAGAATTCCTAGGTGACTGCTATGCAGGTATGTACCTTTTTATACCGAGGCAGTAAGGTTTTAGTATGTGGTTAATTTGGTGATACGATTTTGGTGTTTACACGTGATCTTTAAGCCCTTAACTTGTATGAAGTGCCTAAAACACTTGTTCTCCAGGGCATCATCTGCTTTGGTCTTGGAAGCCTCCCAACAGCAAATGTCAGTTTGGCAGCCCTTTCGTATGCTCATTCCCTTGAAGTTCGGGTACTGACCCAAACATAAAGAGGTATTATGCATAAAATAAAATGAAGGTATGGGGGTGAACCTGCAGCTGTAATTAGACTGTGTAATTGTCCTAGACACTATCAGGTATGTATTTATGGTTGGCCCTTGTAAAAGCCCATGTAGCTTGTCCTGGCAACCTGAGGCAATCGGTATTGCTGGAGCAGCCATGATCAGTTTTTATGCAGCTGAGGCCAGCTCAGGTAGGGCAGGATCCGTGATTCAGGGCAAGCCCATGGGTGTGCAGCCTGGGAGTTCTGCTAGGAGGACTGCAGCTCAGTGCGGAGAAGCCTAGGGGATCCTTATGAAGAAACTGCTGCGTAGTAGGCGTTTCTACTATTGGGGCCAGCTGGAGGTGGGTGTGACTGCTGCAGCCGCTCTGATACTCACTCCGAGGTGCTTTGTGACTCAGTACTGGGGCTGGGAACCAGGGTGGCTGGGAACAGTGTGAAATGGTGAGGGGATGCTGCTGAGCTGTTAGACCATGTGGGGGCTGGAAGTCTGCTCAGTGAGTTTGAGGGGTTTGTTTATGGGTTGGATAGAATTGGCTTTAAGGGATTTTGTTGATTTTAATACTATGTTTTTGGCTTTTATTCATGTTTGGAAAATGCCTGTTAGATCAGATTCACTGTGGCAGTGTATTTAGACCACTACAGTATTTAAAAATCACCAACTACATCTTGAGGACATTGAACAAAGTATGCAGTGCATCCATGGTACGGGATTACAGTAAATTAACTACATTGGTGTTTTCTGAAGTTTTGAAGTGACTAATGTTAAATTGTTCAGACAAGCCATCTGGTAAATTTTCATCTTGTTTTTTCCTTTAAAAAGGGAGATGATTTTACCTCGTAGTAGAAATGAACTAATATGTCTGCATTAAGCAACCTACAGAAATACATGAAGAAATTTGATGATTTTATCTCATTAGAGTTTGGGAAGGGTATGGTAAATAAATAAAGACTTAACAGAATGCTTAATATGAAAATATTAAACAGCTATCTCACTCCATAATCAGTGTCTAAAAAAAATTAAGACTGTTGGTGTGACTGATTGAGGAGTACAGTCTTGTAATTATAATATACTTCTTGCATACATTTAGGGGAACTAAATGTGTCTGTTTTTATAAATGTATATTAAAATCTAAATTCTGGAATTTTGTAATGTACATAACATGTAAAGTCACATCATTCACTAGAAGCTCAAATTTTTTTGTTGTTACTCACGTGCATCACAAGCATGTGATGTTGCGAGTATTGCTTTGACAAGCTTAAGTTACCCCCATCGTAAGTCATTCCACCTGGCTCTGAGCATGCAAGATACTTTTGGTGTAGGACTAATTGTCTTGCTTTTGGAAGGCTGTATTTGAGGACAAGGCTTTTCCCCCCCTTTTCTTTTTTTTTTTTTTTTTTTTAATCCCCAGATCTTTAAAGAGAATGACATATGATTTTAGCCAAAATAGTATAGGAAAAGGTTCAGAGCTACTGATGGTTCAGGTTGCAATAACTCATGCATGTGCAAATCAGCCTTTAACCTTCATACGGTACTAAACAGATTAGTCATGATGTACTTCTTTGCTTTTGTGATGGACTGTTTTTCTAACCTGCAGGGTTAGAGGTGGGGAGGAAGAAGTTTGAAAGAGTAATTTTGTCAACACTTGTGTAGTCAGAAGGCTCAGAAGATAGAATTTGAATTATAATCTCTCCCATTCTGCACCATGATATATCATTTAGTCATCTTCTGAGTGTGTGACTCTCAGAAGACTTAAAAAAAATGTATTTGTTTTAATGGCTCCATTCACTCCCACCTATCAGTCCACTATCAGTGGACTGTTCTTTATTGTTCTTGTCTGTAAGATACAGCCTTTGCCATTTGCCAAAGCACTTTGACTTCATATTTAGATCGCTATATAGTATGTGAAGGTAGTGGTACCTAATGTAATATCCCTGGGTATTTAGAAACTTCTCAGTAGGCAGAGGAAAAATAAGGACAGGGAGAGTGTTGTATTTGGAATATCTCGGGTTTTCCCTGAAGTGTGTAAGAAAATGATTTTTCTTAGTTTGGTGTTATTTATGTGAACATTTAAAACTTAGGAAGAGGAAGTCGTATAAAAAAGAATGGAAGAGTTTTTACTTGCTTAGAAATTTTTGAGGAATGGGAGGCCTTAAGAGCAGGACATTTGAAATAAATTTGTGAAGGGTTTAATGGATGGCCTTGTTTAATTGTAATTAGAACTGTTCAGGTGTAATGATGACTTGAGCTTAGGCACAAATGTAGATGTAAAAGCTGTTGAAAATTATCTCCCTTCTCATTTCCCAGCTGTTCTGTTGTGTTCAAGTGTTTTTACGGTAAGGAAGAAAACCGGGTTACCTTGAGAAGCAGTTTTTAGGGAGGCCAGAAGTAGGTGGCGATTTGGGAAATGCTGCTTTTGGTATTCTAGATGTCAATACCTTTATTGCAGAGACTGAGGTGCAGGAAAATTAATTTAATCTATATGCATAAACAGAAATAGTTACCTAGAACCAGTTACAAGTTGTCTCAAAAGGGTTAAGAAAACAACATTGCTCCAGTGAACTTAAAACCTGATTTTGTGTATCTAACTGTGTAGGCTGTTGATAAACCCATTTAAACTTTATGACTTAATGTTGAGGAGAAAATGTCTCTTAACTTCTGAATTGACATGTTAGGACTCCTCCAATCATCAAAAGATAATAAAGGCTACTTGTTTGTTTGTAGTGGAATGAAGTTTGAGGGTAAGACTAGTGAAGGGACATACTGCATTATTGTAACTAGAAAGGCAAAGTGAGCTTTACGCTGTGTGAAAAAGAAATATGGATATGGTCTCCTGAAATACTTCTGCATCTGAACTATGCTGTGGTCCAGGCTGTGGACAACTTGCCTTCTCCCCTTCCCTCTCCTTTTCCCTTCCACCTCCTTAGAATGCAAATGGTTGATTTCTTTGAAAACATACATGGTGAACAGTCTTTCTTTTTTCCTTTAGGGACCAGTTACTCTCCACAAGAAAATTCACATAACCACAGTGCTCTTCATAGTTCAAATTCACATTCTTCTAATCCCAGCAATAATCCAAGCAAAACTTCTGATGCAGTGAGTATTTGTGATTGGTATTCATCCCTGTGTCACTCCATTCATACACACTGTGTTTTCATCATTTTGTCTAAAACAGGCGGCATGTACATTACCTGCTTCATTGAGTTTTCCAGCATCAGAATTTATTTTATAAACACTCTGTAAACCCAAGCTGCAGTTATTATGTCTTGTAAAACTGTTCTAATTGATAATCATTAGAGCTTTGAGGTACAGGTTTTGAATTGTAAAATACTAGATTATTTAAATGAAGTAGATACAGGGAGAAATATTTTCCTTGAACTTTGTTGGTAAATCTAGAGAAGACAGTATGATTTTACTTATTTAAGATGCATTACATGTTGTGAATTTTAGTCACTTTTATTATCCAGGTTTCAGTAGTTAGTTTAGTAGTTAGGGTGGTGTTTGTTAAAAATTGCATTGAAAACAGAATAGATAAATTTATAAAGTATAGAAAAATTTTGAAAAGATAATTAATGATTTTTGAGGAAGTTTTAAGGTGCAGAAAACTGATGTTGTCAATATTGATATTACTGTATCCCACTAAACATACTATTAGATTTTGTTGCAGGGTTGATGGGAATAAAACAGAGGAAACTATTGCAGAATGCAACAGGAGCCTAGTGGTCACATCTTTAAACTATCAAAATGAAACAGGCATTTAGAGATGGTATAAATGGAAAGCTGTGATGTGGGTGCATATGAGGATGCCATGTAGTTTTAAAAATAGTGGAAGCTTTTAAATTTGTGTATTACAACTCTCAAGTAGTCCTTTGTCCAACACTGTTTGTATTTTAAAGGCTTACGATTCTGCGGATGATTGGTCTGAACACATCAGCTCTTCAGGCAAAAAATACTACTACAACTGCCGAACAGAAGTTTCACAATGGGAAAAACCAAAGGAGTGGCTGGGGAGGTATATGTGTGTGTCTTGTTTTCATTGTATAAAGAATAAATATTCTTAAAGCTCACTTAAGAGCAGTTGAGCTTATCTGATAGATTATTGCTGTAAAAGATTGTGGTCCAGGTCTACTGTGTTCCTACCCTTACTGTGACCTCTGGTACCTATTTTATCCCTTGATGATCCAGAGCGGGAGGGGAAAGTATGGTTGGTTTGGGCTTTTGTTTTTTTGGTGGGATGGGTTTTTTTTGTTTTCTTTTGGGTTCTTTTGGGTTTATTTTGCAATGTTAGTGAGCTAAACTGGTATACTGGGGGCTTTGACAAGCACTGGTGTAAGGAAGCAACGGCTGCAGTTTGCCTACCCCATCTGTAGCAGCAAGCTCTTAGGATAGTTTAATTCATCTCATGTAGCTTCACCCATAGAAAGTATTATATTATTAGATGATGTAAGTTCTTACTTAACTTGTGTTTTCTTTTCTTCAGAGAGCAGAGACAAAAAGAAGCAAGCAAAATGTCAGTTAACAGTTTTCCAAAAGATAGGGATTACAGAAGAGAGGTGATGCAGGCGACAGCTGCCAGTGGGTTTGCCAGTGGAAGTATGTGGTTTTTTTACAGTAATATATTCTTGACTTGTTTGCATTACTGTTTTCTTTTCCAAACTTAAAAAAAAAAATAAAAATCCTTTTCCTTAGCTGTTTTTCTCACGTTTTTATATGAAAAGGCCAAAGTAGATAGCACAGACAGCTCTCCCAAATGCTGTTTCTTAAAATAACTTTGAGCCTTTACTAGTACAACGCCTGCTTAATGCTTTTCATGGTACTCCTCCTTTTTGCAGCTTTTACTGCCTAATTTAATTATCTTTATAAGTAGTTATTGAAACAACTTGCACAGTTTATGGTATAGTTGGACTGTTGTTATCATTGAGACCTTTCAATGTCGTATTCTGAGCTTAAAAATAGAGATGCAGAGGTCTCTTCTAAAACCTTGATTTCACATCTGAAATAATAAGCTAATTTAATGGATTCTGATATCAAGAGTTTTCAGAGGCTTGTGTATATTATTGGAAGCATATTTTTACCATGCCAATACTTCTAGGAAAGCCTTTCCTGGACCATGAATTTCTGTTACTTGGAATTTTTTTTCCTGGTGCCTAGCTTTAATCTTCGTAATTTTTTTCTGGGAAATGGTGGTACTGTGAGATTCTTTCTATATGCTGATGTAGTTTGGGTGAATTTGTAGCATAGTTCTCAGGTTGGTTTAAAAATAGAAGCCAAAGTATTAACCTCCGCTCCCCGCCCCCCC